AGAATTCTACCAACTTCTTCAATCTGAAATCGATCAAACATGCAATCAAGATGTCTTGATCATTACTGGTGATTGGAAAGTAAAGGTTGGGTGCAAAGAGGAAGGATCAGTAGTTGGAAAATATGGCCTTGGTGATAGAAATGATGCTGGAGAACACATGATAGAATTCCACAAACCCAATGATTTGTTCATTTCAAATATCTTCTTTACACAGCATAACAGATGACTATACACGTGGACCTTACCAGATGGAATACATAGAAATCAAATTGACTACATCTGTGGAAAGAGACGATGGAAAAGCTCCATATCATCAGTCAAAACAAGGCCAGGGGCAGACTGTGGAACACACCTTCAATTACTCATGTGCAAATTCAAACTGAAGCTGAAGACAATGAAAAAAAGTCCATGATAGCCAAAATATGACCTTGAATATATCCCACTTGAATTTAGAGATCATCTGAAGAACATATTTGATACATTAAACACTTAAGACCGAAGACCAGAAGAGTTGTGGGATGCATACATGAAGAAAGCAAAAAGTTATTGAGAAGACAAGAAAAAAGGAAAAGGTCAAAATGGATGTCAGAAGAGACACTGTAATTTGCTCTCCAGCATACATATGCTAAAGCAAATGGAAGAAATGAGGAAGTACAAGAGCTGAACAGATAATTTCAAAGATCAGCTCAAGAAGATAAAGCCAAATATAACAATGAAATGTGACAAGATCTGGAATCAGAAAACCAAAAAGGAAGAACACACTCAGCCTTTCTCAAGCTTGGGGAACTGAAGAAACAATTGTATCCTCGACTGTCGTTATTTAAAGATTCTCTGGGCAAATTATTGAACAATGCAGAAAACATCAAAAGAAGTTGGAAGGAACACACAGAATCACTGTACCAAAAGGAAATGGTTAATGTTCAACCGTTTCAAGAGGTAGCATACAATGTCAATGATACTGAAGGAGGAAGTCCAAGGTGCAGTGAAGGAATTGGCAAAGAACAAGGCACTAGGTATTGATGGAATAAAAATTGAAATCTTTCAAGAAAGTGAGGTGTCACAGACGGCACTCACTCATCTCTGCCAACAAATTTGGAAGACAACTATTTGACCGACTGATTGGAAGAGATCCATATTTGTGCCCATTCCAAAGAGAGGTGACCCAATGGAATGTGGAAATCATCAGACAATCTCTTTGCTATCCCATGCAAGTAAAGTTTTACTAAAGGTAATACAGAAATGGTTGTAAGCATATATTGACAGAGAACTTCCAGATGTTCAAGCTAGATTCAGAAGAGGATGTGAACGAGGAATATCATTGCTGATATTCAATGGATCTTGTCTATAAGCAGAGAATATCAGACAGATGTTTACCCGTGCTTTACTGATTACACAGGATTTCGATTATGTGGCTCATGACAAGCTATGGACAACATTGCAATGTATGAGTATTCTGGAACACTTAATTTTGCTCATGAGTGATCTATACATGGACCAAGAGGTAGCTATTCAAACAGAACATAGGAACACTGAATTATTTAAAATTAAGAAAGGTGTGCGACAAGGTTGTATTCTTTCACCATACTTATTCAACTTGTATGCTTAACAAATGATCTGAGTAGCTGTGATATATGAAGAAAAACTTGGCATCAGGATTGGAGGAAGACTCATTAACAACCTACGATATGCGGATGATATAACCTTGCTTGCTGAAAGTGAAGAGGACTTAAAACATTTACTGATGAAGATCAAAGAGCACAGCCTTCAGTACGGATTACATCTCAATGTAAAGAAAACAAAAATTCTCACCACTGGACCAATAAACAACATTCTTATCAAGAGAGAAAAGACTGAAGTTGTCAAGGACTTCATTCTTCTTG